AAATATTAATTTAATTAATTAATTTAAATTATTTACATGATAATAGTATTAAAATAAATATTAATTTTTATAATATTTTATATGAATTAATTAAAAATATATATTTATTACATATAGGCACAGATTTGACAATTTCTTAAAGAAAACAAAACATAAATATGATAAGAGATGATAGTTAATGTATGTGGTTATAATCAGTCCTTTGCATGCAGAGACTGACGCATATTTAAGATTACAGACAATAATTTGTAACGGCCAGATTGAGTGGCGAATAGAAAATGAGAGTGGGCTGAGTTAGATGACCCACCATGAGACGTAAATGTTATTGGGCTAGCTCAATGTTGTAGAACAATGTACAACTTGTAGTTCTTTTATTCAGGCCTCCTTTTTGGTGAATATCATTTTTTGTACCTTATAAACCATTCTTGTTTTGTTAAAATGTGAGGAACAGGAACCGAGCCTTTAAGTCTAATTGTTCGACCCCAAACCTTAAGTGTTTTGATGAGGTGGTCGAAACTTCGAACTCTATCACCGTCGTGAACTCCACCAAAAAATGGCCTGATGACCGCGCGTCTCATTTGAGGAGGTAGAATGTTCACCCGATTTTAGAACCAGTTACTAACAACTAATTCCTACTAACTTCCTAACCATTACCTTTGTAAAAAAAAAAAAAGTGAAGAACAGAAAAACAAGCAAATGACTTGATCTTTTATTAATCCACTACCACGACCATCCTCTCTCTCTCCCTCTCCCTCTCTCAATAAAAGAAGAAAAGAGCATCAATGTTGGTGCTTATTGCAAGCATATGAACCATTTTGGTTATTTGCACTCAAAAATATTTAATTTTTTTAAATATATTAAGTTGATATAAATAAGATGTATTTTTAAGATTGTGTTGAAAGAGATTAATTTTAACATATATGCAAGTTGATCTAAGTACAGCATAATCATTCAAATAAAAAAAAAATAAAGGGGTATATTTTGGTAATAGATTAATCATCACGTTTAAAAAATTAATTAAGCTATCTTTGGCCACACATGGGATTCGTCATTTGTCTGTTGGAGAGAAAAATGGACTGATCCCCATTCAACAGGTCCCATGTTTAATGCCTTTATCAACCATTAATTGTCTATGTACTAGGTAAGATCAAAAAATGAAATTATCTACGTACTAGCAAAGGAAGATGGAGCAGTATGTTACTGTGTCACCAATCCCATCTAGCATCGTCATCGATCAGGATTTTCAATTTTTCATTTGGTTAGGACATAGTTGTACTATATATGTTGATTTTTTTTAATGATACGTTAAAAAGTTAGTTGTTAGGTATAATATAAGTTTAAATTTTTAATTTTAATTTTAAATTAAAATATTTTAATTAATAACTATTAACTCGATTAAATTTTTGTTGGCAGTATATATGTTGATAATTAAGAGTTCAACTCCATTGAATTTGCCCAAAAAAAAAAATGTCAATCCAAATTTGAAAATCCAAATATATTGCGGCTTCAAATTTAACCCAACCTAATGTGAGTTCTTGGTTCCGCTTCAGAGTTTGCGTTCACTGATTCCACAAATGGATTTTCCAATTTGAAACCAAAACTCAAGACTTTCCCTTGTCAACCAAAGGAAGGACCTTATCTGGACTAAATCAAGCATTTGTCAATATTTACCTCACCATGGTTAAACAAAATTTCATCCTCAATAAGTCAAATAGTCCAAATCAAAGCAAACCATACTACTTCCCAACCAATTCTCCTTTGTGTAGACATTGCAAGACACTCATGGTGGACATAAGCATCCCACACATTTCCAACAAGCACATTTTGTAAATCCCATCATTTAAGACATTTAATCCAAAGTTGCGTGGTTACCTTACAGATAAGAAATAAGTGGTTATAGTCTTCTACGTGGTCTCGACATAAATGACAAACCAACTCTATTGTATCTTTTAAAATGCCTCTCTTAAATAGATTAGCTTTTGTTGGTAATCTATTTAAAATTAATTGCCAATTGAATCCACACATTTTGGTCGGGACGGATTGGTTCCATACTCTTTCAAACAAACTTGAGGGGAAATCAAGATAGAATAGCCAGATCATGTTGAATAGTCACCATCCTTACCATGCTTCCATAACCATTTGTCCGTCCTATCCTCATGGAGCTTGACCGAATCTAGCAGTTTTTCCAATTCCTCCTTTGATTGTAACTCCTAGGATAGTAGATTATGTCTCCATGGTAACATCCAGCACCATTTTCCATCAATCCAGGCTCCTATCTTATTATTTGTACCTGTAGAAAGCAAATAAAGTCTCGAGAATTTGTTAGCTAAAACTCCCTCTCCACACCAAAAGTCTCTCCAAGACTTTCATTGTTTCCACAAATTAATTAGATTTTCCAATTTGAACGAACTTTGTGGAAGCTGTCAAACCAAAACAAACACACAAAAGAAACAAATTAACCCTCAATTGTCTTAACTAACGTAATGTCATTTTCAAAGCATTCCTTCCCACTACTAGAAAACCATACAAGTTTGGTCAGTCACACTGACTGAACAAACCCACATTTTGATCGAAAAATTACTATTTTGGTTAAGATGCTTAACCGAATTATTGGACCGAATAAGTACTGACCGAATAAGTACTGACGGAAATACAATTTTGGATGGAATTTCATCTTGACTGAAATTATTCATTATTTCGGTTAAGATCATTGACCGAAACATGGTGTAAAAAATCATTAAAAAAAACTTAGTTTCAGTGAAAATATTTGACCGAACTATTAAAACAATATTTTAATGATAAGGTTCGGTCAAGTGTAATGACTGAAATAGTCATGGATGACTGATTTCCCGATATTAGATTTTGGTCAAGAATATTGATCGATTTAATCAACATGGCTATTTTGGTAATTGACACATACTATTTCGATCAATTTAAATGACCAAAATATTAAGAGGATATTTGTGGAAATTTGTTCTATATACTTTCAGATGAAAAATATGATCGAAAAAATATGATTAATTTATATTCCCAAGGAAATTGTTCAGTCAAGTAAATTAATCGAAATTATTGTAGTTTTCGTAATATAATATCATGTATTATTTCGGTCAAGTTTCTTGACTGAAATAATAATACAGAATAATAATAAAAAAAACTATTTTACGAATTTTGACCTGGATGATAAAATAATTCTAATAAAAATTGGTGTTTAAAAAATTAAAATTTTAATATCCTCAATTATTTACCCTTCATATTTATTTAATTTATTGCTATTTATAATTTTAAATTACAATTCTAATTTTATTTCTAGAAATGTAAAAAAAATGATGAAAAAAAATACGAAAATACAAAAAATACTACATATTTGAGGATAGCATTAAATCCAATTTAAATACAAAAATAAGTTAAATTTATATATATAGTAAGTATAAATAATTGAAAACATTTTGACTATTGAATAATATAAAACAAATAAAAAATTGATGATAAATATTGAATAATATAATAAAATTACCTATAAATTGTTGCATTATCATCTTCACCAACTTAAGAGACCCTAAAAATTATCAAATTTAAATCATTAGTACACAATTAACATTATATAACATAAAGATAATGTTACACAATTAACATTA